AGTCATAATAACGATCTCTCTATTCTATAATTTCTTTTTCTGAATGCAAAGACTCCGGGCAGGCACCTGGCCTTCCAATTCCATCAACATGAAAAGTCCAGCGCCTTCAAAGGGTCCATCGGGCTGGTTGGAGAGCGATTCGATGAGCGTCGGCCACTGCATGCAGTCCATGATGCTCAGATCGAGGATGTGGATCTTGTCGCGCGACTGGACGGCAGCAGCGTTCTGACTATCATCAACGACAAGAGTGCACTGGACAATGGAGCGCTGTAAGTCGATGGTTATGCTAGATTTTGTTTCCTAATGTTTGCTTCAGGAGCACAAAAAATATCTCGATCGACGGAAAGAAAAGCTGAATGGCATCTTGGTTGTAATCCGCAAGAGACAGCAGCAATTGTGGCGCCATGAAGCGTAAACCAGCAGGCACTGATCAAGAACCAGAAAGAGATACAGCGGAGATATGACATGGAGACGGACCCAAAGATGCGAAGGCTTTTGAAGGAAATTGGAAAGGACTTGGACAACTGAAGAGGAGGTGGAAGAAATACTGAAACTCTTTCTCCAGTGACCTGACCCTTCAAGCTCTTACGTCGCTAGCATGCGGAGCTAGGAAACAGGGTGAAACTCTTGGCGATGAGGAGATGAAACGCGTTGAGAAGATGAAAGAGAAGTATAACACGCAGGAAAAGAATGAGGAGTCCAAACCTGCACCGGGACGATCCCCTCCCTAGCTCTCCCCGCTCGATCGCCGCCCTGTCTTCGTGCTTTGAAGTCTGGTTAGCAAGTACTCCGATTCAAAACCTTCAAGCCGTGGTTGCGATGGTTGCGGTAAGTTGCATGGATTATTTTTTATTCTTTTCTGACAAGGTTTTGATATATGGTCACTTTCTTCTCTTTACAAAAGTGCGCCTCAATAAAAACATAGAATCGAATCGCTCGAACAAAGAAAGCAAATAATTGGTTCGAATGGAGTCACTCGAGCATCAGTAAGCTTGTCGGCTTCTTTTTCCTCTCACTTGCAGAATGAGGAGCAGAAAGTTTCTCCCGTGGCGCATCCAGAGAGAAGTTGTAAAAATGCGGTTGAATAATTAACGAGGCACAGTGCCAACTTGAAAACTAAACCGCTTGGTCAATGTGAAGTCACGAGCGTGAACTCATTTTAATTCGTTCAAGTTTGATACATTTAGAGTCTTGAATACAAAGATTTTCATTCCTCTATCATATATCAAGTCTATCGTCGTTAAACTTTCGACCTCAAACGTTCATGAGTTGGGTCTTCATTTTACTTACTATGCAGTTCTTCTGGTGCTTTTGCTGTTTTGCCGTAAGTTGAATACTTCGTACAGGAGATCGTTTTCCTGCAAGTGCCTCTGAAAGCCTTCGTCCAGGAGCCTTCAGAAGGCATTGAGCACGAGGACAAAGCTCCCAAGACACTCGAGAGCTGGAGGCCCATGACTCTCTTCGAGCTCAGCGTAGAAAGCAGCAAATTCCAAACTGTACCAACAGTTTGATTTGCGTGAGCACTGATGACAATCTGCCACAGAACCTTCATCGCGCTGGCCTTCTCCACACCACTAACGACTCTATTCCAGGGACCAGACGGACAGCGCGAGCGAAAGAAAAGAATTCGAATGAAATCCCTCAAGCACTAGTGGTTCCTTCAAGCTTGTCGATCTCAGGTGCGGCTTCTTTTCCGCGCGGAGCAGAAAGTTTCTCCCATATGAAAATGGCGTGATGTTGTGAGGTTCTTTCTCAAGTTTAAAACATCTTATTAATTATGAATGCACTAGAATATTTCAAAGCTATCATAGCTGAAGTTACGACTGGCCTCAAGGGCACATCTTCTTTGGTTCATGAGTTGAGTCTTCATTTTACTCACTATGCAGTTATGGTGCTTTTGCTGTTTGGTTGTCCCCTTGTAAACCACGGCATCACTTGGAACAAAGTTGAACACTTCGTGCAGGAGATTGTTTTCTTGCAAGTGCCTCTGAAAGCCTTCGCCCAGGAGCCTCCGGAAGGCATTGAGCTGCACGGTTTGGCTCCACGTACTGATCTTGAGCGAGTCACCATGCTTGAGCTTGAGACAAGTCTCGTGACATGCACCACCTTCGAGAATCGCCACCATGTCCCTGAAGCTGCTTCTCTGCTCGGATCTTTCTTTCTTTGTCTGGCCCTTCCGGCTGGAAGAGGCAGCCAGCGCTTTCATCTGATCCACCACCTGCAGCTCCATCGCCATCGTCTTCGTTGTTTCACCTTCGCCAAGAGCTTGCGGCAAGAGGTGGATATCGCCAAGTTCGCAGAGAAGAGCGATGGCTTCCCCAGCAGCCTTGCGAACACCTAGATCTGGATCCTCGAGCAACGAGGACAGAGCTCCCACGACACTCGAGAGCTGGAGGGCCATGACTCTCTTGGAGCTCAACGTAGAAAGCAGCAAACTCCAAGCCGTGATGGCGGCCGCCTTGACTGGAGGTGGGGGTTTGCTCGTACCAAGAGTTTGATCTGCGTGAGCACTGCCTTTGTGGATGACAATCTGCCACAGGACCTCCATCGCGCTTTCTGTGGACGCCTCAACGCCACCAACGAAAGTTAACATCCCGAGAGCCTCAATCGCTGAAACCCTCACGGCAGAATCGCGTCCAAGCTTGGAACTCCTGGAGAGATGAGGGAAGCTAGCCTCGAATACGTGCTCGGCCACTTTCCCTGCTCCCGCAGTGATGGAAACCATGGCCAGAGCACGCCCCGCAAGAACAGCCTCTGTCGAAGAACTCTGCTTGATTGACGATAGGATTTGATGAGTCAACGTTTCATACTTGTCGTCGATGAAGTGGGTCATCACCCTCCCCCGCAAAGCGTCGATCATGCCCTTCAAGCCGGCCTCTCGGGTGCTAGATCTCTTCTCGTACAAACAATCCAAGCTTGCCTCCAAGTCCAAGAGTGTGGACGAAGAGTCGTCGTCCATATGCTTCGTGTCACACTCGTGGTGTTGTTTGAGTTTGTTCTCCTTCTCTTCGGCATGCCTCTTGCACTTCTTCGACACTCTCTTTGACGATCGTACCTTAACGCACTCCATCGCCCTTTTGCTGACTGGAAGAATGAGCACGCCCTAGTTCTTGGCGATATTTTATGCTCGCAAAAGGAGCCTTAATTTAAATGTCATTAAAAGGTAATTAGTTTTAAACAATCAGTTAAGTAAATACTTTTTCTAATTGTTTTTTTTTTTCCTCCGTTTTTTGTTTCATCCCGAGAGTATTGCTGTGCAGGATATGAAAGGCACTGCTCAGGAAATGATGGAGCAGGCCAAGGACTCGGCTTCGGACGCGTCCCAGAGGACGGAGGACAAAGCTGGTGAAACCAAGCTAGAGGTATGCTCCAGCAGGTAAGGAAAAAACCTTGGAACCAAAGATGAAGGGACACCTCGAAAACTTGGACAACTGGTTCCTGCCGTCGATTCCCTGCTTCTGTGATACAGGACCTTTAACTTGCAAGCGCCAGTGGAGCACGGAGAGGAGGAGGAGCCTCCAACATGAGAACCGGAGGTAGCGTGGTTGATGCTGCTGCTTTCTTTTGCTGTGTCGAAGCCACGAGACGAGGCGGAACAATCTCAATTGCTGCCATCCTCTGCCAGGTCCGCTTCCTTCTCCATGGAGAATTTGGTCGGGTGTATCTCCAGCGCTGAAGCAGTGATTTCAACGAAAGACTTCCGTGAGCCTGTGAATGAAAGTTCCATAGGAAACATTTGGAATAGAGCCCAGTTACTTACATATGCGTGAAGTGTCGCTTCTGCGATCATGCCAGTCCCTTGCCATGACCTTTCTGATATAGCAGGATCTCCTAGAAGTGCGGCTGCAATGGCTGCTTCCCGACCGCATTAGCAGATCTCTAGCAAAAACAAAAACGAAAAGAAGTGAAAAGCTTGCCGTTAAACGGGTCATCTCTCCGTGTGCAGCAAGGCTCAGAGAAACATGTGCCCGAAGAACGGTAGGATCCAGAGCACCTTCGACAGCAGCAGTCACTGCCAGCTTCTTTAGCGCTTCAGTTGAGATCTGAGATTGAGTGGTGGCATCGGCGGCATCTACCAGCTCAAGAAATTCCTCAGAAAACTTCACAATTTTCTCCTTTGTTATCAAGGCTAATCACCTTTTGTTCCAAGAGTTTTGCTATTGCTTAGCGTGACGAGGCATTGCAAAGCTCTCTTTAATTCCCCACCCTGCCATACTCCAGCCTAAAGAAGCAAGAACCGAAATGTAAGTGACAAACCTCTTCGAAATGCCAGGCAGATCGTAGCATAGAGCAAGGTCTCTCGTCCAAGCTTGAAAGCGCTGCAAAACATGGAATGCCAGTTTAAAGCAAGTACTATCAGGATGACTAAGCGGCAACCATGAAGCTGTCGTACAAGTGCACGTCCACACACTTGTCGCCATTCCATACAACATCGGTAGCCTGGAAATTCAGAGAGTTAACTACGCTCTCTATCAATCCGAAGGCTCTAACATACCTCCCGGCTAGACGTCATAAAAGTCATGAGACACACGACTGATCCCTTGTGGATCACAAACATACCATGCAGGCGCTTTGTTTTCCAGGATTTGTTTAGGAACGTCCCGAGAACGCATTGTGATGAGATCCCAAGAAGATGGCTGTGTTCTCGCAGCAACCCGAAGAACCGGGTGGAGAGAACTAATGAGCGTCTCCCGCAGCTGTCCAACTGATCCACCATTGCCAGAAGCGCACATCGTCATCGTCAAACTGATGTGCTTCACACTGGCAAAGGCAAAGAAGAAGAACACCATTAGAACCAAGGAAAGCCTGTCACGCAAGACTTCATTACCTTCCTCCACGAATCGCCTCGGTAGACCAACAGAATGGATCAAAAGGTGCGAGAGACGCATCCAGATATATTTTACCCGGATCTCCCTCGGCAGCTGTGCTCCAGCGAGGCGCTTGGCATCCACGCCCCCAGCATTGAGCTCATACCCGAATCTATGAGATTTCCCGATTTCCCGAGCAAGACCTCACCTGGCGATGCTCCCAGTCCCAGACGACGACGGCGGATCCATCAGCAGCTCTGGGAAGAGAAAAAATAAATTAGGGCATTTTTAATAAAAACCTGTGGGAGACTGATTCGCCACCTTAGTTGGACTCGTATAACAGTCCACTTTTACATTTACCTGATAGTCATGTCTGATATACTTAAACCAAAATCCATGGCGCATTTTCAATGCTCGAGGCTGGCACTTCGTACTTGACAGAACCCCTTCGCGGAGGTCGAATCTAAATTGGTCGATCTTGCACTTGATTGTTGTGTTGAGTTGAAAAAAAGAGCCCAAAAAGCACAATTTTTTCAAAAAAGAGCAAAAGAAATGATATAACGTATCCACTTTTGTGGGGAGTATATATAATTGATGCCATTAGTGTAATGGCACATATTAGGCGCATCAAAGGCATGTGATGCCTTCTTCTGTGATATATTTTATGCCATATATCAATACCACTTCCTTACGTTGATAGATACGCTCTCCTGAGTTTGCTCTAAATCCCCAAGCTGATTGAAGCAGAATATATGTCGTGTCTTCTCGAGCACAGGTTGGTTTCACCATTCACCTCCACTGCCTTGCGAAGAAACTTGAGCATCGCACCAAGCATCAGCGTGCTTATTCTGTGATCCGGGAATCGAGCACAAATGTCCCTGGTAAACTCGGAGTACTTGATAGAGTTACAGTTGACGACTGAGTGGAAACACCTCAAAGCTAGTACGGATCTGCGTTACCATGAAGTCTACTGATGGCGTGGTTGTGGGCGAGCGGAGGTGGGGTGCTGGATTTCTTACGGGACAGCTATGGGCAAGACACTGACGGGGATGCACTTGTGGACGACACTCTGGAGGCCCTACGAACTAGGTCTGTAATTCATGCCACTGATCTTGATTTGCACGGATTAATTTGTTTCTGTTACCTAGGCCCTTTTGTTGTTTGTGTGCTTCTGATTGAAGTGGCGTGTTAATCATTTCCCAATGCTCGAATTCTTCAATGTTTGTCTGATTTTGAAAGTTGTGTGGTTTTTCTTTTCTAAGATGCAGTTGTCGAAAAGCTTTTTGAGCTATACGGGGAAAAGGTGAGGGTTGGGTGCAAAAGGCCGGGACCGGAAAATGTCCATGCCTTGAACTGCACAGGCCCAAGCGAGCAGGATGTTATCGGCCGCTACTTTAGCATATTCATGGACGTGATGAAACATACGATGTACTTTTGCGAGGCTCAGTGAGGATGTATTCTCCATCCGAATGCAACTGCTAGGATACTAGATCATGGTAAAGGACTAAGTTGTACTCCAAAGACGCATGCCATGTCCATAACGTCTTCCTGTGAAGGGTGCTGGCCTAAGAGTGGAGAGGTTGCGCCAGTTTTGTGCCCACCCTCGACTTCCCAACGTCGCCCCCGGGAATGCAATCATCCCAATGAAAAAAGGTCCATTTTGCAAGAAGTCAGAAATAGAACCATCCGCATGAAACACAAATAATAATTAGGCCAAGTCGCGTTTAGCCGCTCTAAAGAGGAACACCGTACTTAATAGTCTTTTGGATTCTTCGTGAGCAGCAGGCCCAATTTGATCGCTCCAGCAGCCACTTTGTCATAGTCGACTCTAAGAGACGAGTCCTCTAGGTTTGCGCGCTGCGTTTGCTCTGGCAAGCCGGTCAGCCACTTCGTGGCACACGTTTTCTCATCCTCGTCCAGACAGTGTCGTGGCTCTTCTGCAAAGCCAAAGAAAGATTAACGCAACACTAAGCATTCTGCACTCACCTCGGGCCATGTTCCAGACGATCATCATGTAAAGCTGTAGTAACAGTTACATAAACAACACTAGGAAGAGAAAATATCAGATTACCGTTTGCATTTTGTCGCTGGAGGTGTTCGAGTATTTCAGATCGAAAGACATCCTATCAGCACCAATCGGGAAAACAATCCTTCGTAACTCTGAAAAGCGTACCGTTATGTTCATGCGACACGCAGGGTCCTTTTGTAGTCCTGGAACGAGCCGTGAAATGGCGATACTTTTCCTTCTGTCACAACCCAGAGCTCGTCCACGCTTCCGGATATCAGGTGCTCGTCATGGCTCACCTGTTGTAAAAAATCATTAGAAAAAACAAACACAATGTTCTCATACCATTAAAACTCCTCCCTGAAAGAGTGCTAGGCCTTGTATGAGTGCTTCCACGGCGTCAAGGTCCTATAAGCATGCAAACAGCAATATCAAGATAGTGTTGGAAGACAATAGCAGATTCTTACAAGGTGATTTGAAGGCTCATCCAGTAAAAGAATGTGTGGTTTGTTGAATGTGATTTTTGCAAAAGCGACACGACTCTTTTGCCCACCTGTATAAATACTTTTAGTCAAGGAAACAAGTAGTTCATATGTTATACCTGATAGAGTATACATGGCTTGAAGCGCCAGGTTTCCCGAGAGACCAAACGAACCCAAGTGAGCGCGAATCTTCTGCTCTGGGGCACCCTGTACCAATGAACGGTCATAAACTGATAACACGCAAGACGAGTAGCAGTGACACTTACAGGGAAACAACGTGACATGTAGAGGAGAGGCGTTGACGAAAGGTCAAGGCCGTCTACATGGTGCTGACTAAAAACAGCCATGCGCACCTGGACAATGGCCGCCTAAGAATGGTTATACAAATCTTCCAGGAGTACCTTTGGAGACCGAAAGACAGTTCCAGACACAGGCTCCAATTCACCAGAGATCAGCTTCAGCAGTGTTGACTTCCCAATACCATTAGCACCAACAACTGAAATATCAAACGTTAGAGCCCAATGTTACCAGCGGTATAACATTACCAGCTAGGCGACTGTCCAAGTCGAGGCCAAAGTTCAGGTTTCTAAACAGGACTGGACCTCCTGGATATCCAAATGACGCATCACTGTAGAACATTTTTTAAGTCAAACACAACACAAGTCATAGATTAGTTACCTGAAGCTAATTATGGAGCCGGATGGTCGATCGTCTGGAGTCGGGAACTCAAACTTGTAGCTGGAAAAAAAGAAAACCATATTAGAAGCAAACTTAATGAGCACAAAACATACTCTGGATCATTCACAACAGCATCCACGTATCCAATTCGATCCAAAGCCTAAAAATCCACACAAATATAAGAGAAAATCGTGACGAAGGCATGGGCTTACTTTGATTCTTGACTGAACCAGCGACGCACGTTTTGCGTTGTATCTAAACTTGTCCACAAATGCCTGCAAATAGGCACGAGCGGTTACAATCGGTCAAATGAATGTAAGAAAGGCAAACCTGGATGTGCGCTCGAGTACGCTCATTCGATTCGTGTGCCTTCTGTTGATTTGATAGACGTTCTGCGCGCGTCCGCTCAAATATGTCATAATCTCCTTTGTAAGTGACTAACTTTTGCCCGTGCAAATGTAGTATGTCTGTCACCACCTGTGCTACCAGCTCGATAGATTTCGAAACATATTCAAACATACCGCATTGAGAAAGTTTCGAGCATGGGACACAACGATAAGTGTCTTTGGCCACTTCAAAAGATACGTCTCTAACCACAATACTGCGTGTAGGTCCAAATGATTCTGCAGGTATTGATTTTAAGACAAAGCAAGATAAGTATGTTACCGTACCGTGGGTTCATCGAGCAGTAGAAGGTCGGGCTGTATAAACAATGCCCTTGCCAACGCAATCCGCATGCGCCAGCCTCCAGAGAAAGTCTTAGTTTCTCGAACTTGCATATCGGACGTAAAGCTCAAACCCTGCAACAGTTTTTCAGGACCGAGAATTTGGAAAAAGAATTCCTACTTACAGCTAATATAGAAGCGGCACGAGATTCGGCCGTGTAAGCGTCTATTTGTTCCAGCCTCTTGTAAATCTGAGCAAGCCTTTCAGAAGCTGCATCTTTGGAACTTGAAGTATCGTTTGCACTTTTCTGGGAAGAGTAATTAATCAGTAAGACAGAAATAGGAGCTAAAACTGTTGACTTGCACCTTTGCATCAACCAGGCTCGCCTCCTCTTCGAGCAACTGCGTACGTTCAATATCGGTGCTCAAGACGCACTGCAGAACTGTCGTAGAGCTTCCGACCACCTCTTGCTCGACATGTAAGATCTGACAATTCTTTGGTAGTCCATCGATAGCATGCATTGCCATGTGCTTGAGAAGCGTGGTTTTTCCGGTCCCGTTTCTCCCAACAAGACCTTAAGCCACACCACTCAATCAATCCGAGTTATGGAACACAAAACGAAAATGCTCACCATATCTTCTACCATAAGCAAGCGTGACAGAGGCACTGTTGATGAGCTCCCTTCCGCCCATAGAGATGCTGAAGTTCTCCATCCTTATATCTTTCGGTACGTTGGCATCTCCGTCCGTGTTGTGAGTTACGTAAAGACCAGCCATCCCAGCAGCTGCGGCATCCGCTGCAGCAACATGCGCTTCATAGTCTGCCTGTTTATCACAAGAGAAATGAAAGGTGCTAGAAAAGAAAGAAGAAACAAGCCACAAACCCGTCTCTGGCGTTCTTCTTTTTTCCTCCTCCTCTCGAGCTTTGCCTGGTCGCGCTCGGAGATTTGCGGGAGAAGATCCTCGTGGTGTGCTGTGCCCGCAGCCTCGGAGCTACGGAGACCCTCTGACATGCGCACCGGAGCAGCCAGACTTCGCACCGATAGTTTGTTCTCGTCAATACTTCCTCGGTAGAATTTCTCAGCGAGCTTCTTGCAAACCTGGAACACAAAGCACCAAAAAAATTTCTATAATCAGTACATGAAAAATTCCATCCCTTGACTACTTACTCCAACACTCACAACTTCTCCAATTCATTCTTCCTAATAAATTTTCTAGCTGCGCAATTTCTGTCACTCGTTCTAGATCCTAGGAGCAGGGAAGAAGCACATACCCATCGCGCTTCAGCATCGTCGGCCACGCACTCGGCCTCGACGAGCAGCGGGCCGAGCGCCTCGTACGCATTCTCGCCCGACTTGCCGAAATCGAAGGTGTCGTCCTGGAGCACATTGATGATGTAGTCGACGATGATCGAATCGACGTCGGCGTCGCGAATGCGCCTCCCAATGAGCACCAAAACCTCCCCCTTGACGCTGCCGTCTATCCCCATCACTCCCAAAAGCCCTAAACCTTTTAGATCAAGGGGATAAAAGGTTAATAAAGCTCAAGTTTCGTTTAAGTTGGTTTAAAAGCTAATAAAGCATAGTTTAAGTTGGTAGAACTTTTCTTCGTACTAAACGCTCGACTTGGTATATGAAAGGTCCAAGCATTTTTTTGCCTAGAAGAACATCATCGTTTCTTTAGATGCGAGAAGCTTTTGCGCTCGTTGAGTTCCCACGATTCTCTCGAGCTGGAGAAAATTACGAATCAGTAGTGGAGAAGGAAACAGAGAAAAGCTTACTTGCAGTTTGTCGAATTTGGAGTAAATTACAGTACAGGAAGGATTCTGTCCGCCGCCAAGCATATTGACCATCTGTAAAAGGATATGAAAACCGGATCGATCGCAAACGAGCTGGTACCTCGGAGTAGAAGTTTGCGTGATCCGGTAGTGAGTAGAATATCAGTTCGCGTATGCCCCGTATCTGCAAGGATAGCTCTGATGTACCACACGATGAAAACTTCACGGGAGCTTACTTGGTAGCGGTGATAGAAATGTGCGCGCTCAGTGTACAGCATGATTCTTCTTTGGCCGTGGAAAAACCAGGTTCGTGACCGGGAAACATCGCTTGATTTTGTATACCTGCGTAGAATTGTTACAAAAATAGATCGGGATTTGGGTATTTGTTAATGCTCACTCTCCCAGGAGACAAAAGGATGCACTTTCGGCCTTGAGAAAGTTTCGGAGCCGTACGAAGTCAAAATAAGAACGAACAAATAGCATGGTTCCTCCCTGTAAAAGAAAAATTGGTCGATCGTTTAACGTGAACTAACGTGACTGACCTGCAATGACTCCTTGATCCTTGGAAAGAGCTGCAAGATCATGCTAAAGTCAGCACAAGTTTTTGCCAGCGAGTTAGCAGCGTATGAAGAACCTGTTTTGTAAAAAATTCGAATCTTGCGTCATCGACGTCTGTAATTGATTCACACTGCACACCCTCATACACCTGCGGGAAAAAAGTTGAAACCATAGAAAAGTAGAAAAGCTGAAGACTGACCTGACGAACTTGCAACATTATATTTGAAAGCACGCCATCGTAACGACATTGTAACTTGGCCTGAAGCTTAGAAGATCAGCACGTGAGAACGGGCATCGCGAAATACCTTGCCCGTATGATTGACACACTGCCGAAAAAACAAAGCATTGATAGCTGCAAAAGATCGTTTCAAGAGATTGTTCGCTATCAAAGACGACACTATTACCTGCATCAGGATACGATGAAAGAAAAATCGTTTGACGAAAATATCGTGCATGACCATCCAAGTACCTTGTAGCAAATAAAATGTAAGACGAACTAGGAAGTCATAGCGACTCACCATTCGCGAATTCTCATTATGTCAGTATCATGCTGCTTTGAAGGCATCTTGTTTATGTGATCAAACAACGACACAACGTGTGACCAGTTCTGTCAAACCAGACCATTTCAGAGAAAATGAAAGTTTTAAAATAAAGAACATACCTGCATCAATATTACATCCGCAAAATCTATGACCAAAATTTCTATGGAAGATAAAAAGTCGATGTTTTTACTGGTATCAGCTTTTGCTTCTTGAATGCTCTGCACATCATGCTCAGTACTTAGCACTTGGAGGATGCCGAACTTACAGTAGTTAGACCGAGAGGTGATGCAAGTATTATATCTGACGATAAGAAGTCGCTGTAAAGTTTGACCGCTTTTCTGCAACGCAGGACCCTTTAGTTTAGAAGGACAACTTTTACCTTCTAACCTCGTAAATTTTATTCCAATCCTGAAATGATCGTCATTGTTCCCATCGAATATAAACTTAAAATCTGCTGGTTTTGAGGCTTGCTTATCGTCTTTGTCTTCTTCACCCAAACCAAAATCATCGAAAAACCGTTGCTTGAAATCAACGGTAGCCTGTAAGTGACCCGTTAATGACCTGTACACGATGAAACGTTAATTTGCACCTTTTGTGTTGGAGGAGCCAATGCTAGAAGACGCTTCACAAGCTTCAGTGCTAAGTTTCTCATGGGCAACAATACCAGAACCTGCAAAAATCTCAATATTATGGAGAAGACATGCATTGCGAAATGAACAACCTTGGGACGAGTGAATCCTTGATCTCGAGGACTGTTAAAAACACCAGTAGGTTCACGATTATGCAACTTGTCGTTGTTCTTGCTGACCAGATCTTTTGTTTTCAAAACATGGTTTATCTGGTCACAAATAATTGCCGCATCAGATTCACACCGATAGTAATTACGTACGATATGAAGAAGGCAGGCATCCATCGTTTCAGAAGACAATTTCTTCCCTCCTTTCCTTGTGTGTAAAATATCGTAGTAACTGTTGCCTGTAAGAAAGAAACCACCGGTGATGGAGAATAATATAAAGAATTAGCAACTTACACAAAGAATAAAATTGACACTGGTGCTCACTTTGAAAATCCCCAAACTTTCGCTTCGCCACATTCGCCCATTGACTTCGCAACCGTGCTTTGACATTGTAATGGGAGAGTTTACTTTCCGCCTGCAAGATGTCGTGATTGTAAAAAATCTGTGGCACGAAAATATCTGTACCTTGGGAAACTTTTCCTTGTCGATAATCCATTTCGAATTCAAGAAGCCCGAAGCAATATTTTCCACATTCAGTTTGGACTTGGCGCTATCAAGCTCAGCAATTTCCCCTTCTCCTAGTTTGTGATCTAAGTGCACTTTGAATTCGCTATAGTGTTAAAAAGGAAAAACAGACAATGAAATCAAATATCAGCAGCAAAAATTCAAAGCGTTACGTACTCGACAGTGCTTGTCTCCAGATTCTCGTCGTCCACTTGCTCCTCTAGAATTTCGTCACCATCGTCATCCTGGAACTCATCATCAGACTGATCTGGCTCGGTATCTGCGATAAAACGTGAGAAACTTCCAGAACGAAGAGAAGTTAGCAGCTACCTTCTTTGTCCGAAAGTCCACCATTTCTCTCGGTATCAGCATTTGGCACATCGTCACTGCTATGGTCCCTTTCCTTCGTTTGAAAACCACAAGTTTGCCCCCCACCACGCGACTTTAGCGTCGCGATAAGCGTGCTGTATGCCGTAGCCGCATCCAACTCTTCCGAGGTAGACGGACTTGGATCTAGGAACGTTTGAACTGTTCTAGGGATGAAACACGACAAAAAGGATCTTACCTCGCACGTCGTCACGAGAGAGATCCCGAGAGACAATCCGATCTACAAATTCTCGGTTCAATGCGCTGCATTCTCAATCGAGGCGAAATCCTTACCTCCAGCCGCAGCCGCTGCTGCTGCTGCTGCTGTCACGGTGCCATTGCGCTTGCGCTTGAGCGCCATCGCGCTCGCCTAAAACCCTAAACCCTAGAATGGAGAACTTCGTTTTAAACTGGCATACGTTTATTTCTAGTTTCGATCTAGTATCATTTTGGAGGGAAAGTCACAGAGCTCCAATTCTCTCGCATGAAAATCACAGAGTTCCAATCTTCTCGCGAGCAAATCCTTGAAGCTTGATACTTCCAAAGACCACCCTGGAAATCCTTGTTCTTCGAAGGACACTCCTCTCTATAAGACATCTCCTGGAAAGACCACTGTACTCCACTTCTCGCTCGTGAATCCCAGCTCCTCCTCGGAGAACTGGTGTGGAGGAGCTCCCGCGAGGATGGAATTCCTCGACGATGGTTTGTGACCCACGAACAGCGAGAGGTGGCCGAGCAGCTTGTCCTTGCGCGAGAAGCTCGTCCCGCAAGAACACATCCACTTCTCGCGGCCGCAGTGCTTCTCGTGCGTCCGCAGATCCGCCACCACCGAGAACTTCTTGCTCCGGCACTTGCTGCAAGTGAGCATCTTCGGGCAGTGCGATCGCCGGTAGTGGTTCTTCACGCAAAGAACAGTCTTGAGCGGCGAGAACTTTGGATGGAGCTTGTGGCGCTTGCAGCCCTCGAACGGGCATGAGTAGCGCTTGCTCCGGCTGGCCTGGACGAGCTGTTCTTGGATCAAATGCTTCGGCTTGGACAGCGCCGCCGCGGTCTTGTACTCGTCGCCGTGGCCTCTCATATGCATGCGCAAGTTGGCGTCGCGCTTGAATCCTTTGCCGCAGATCTCGCAGAAGTGCGTGTGCTCGGCGAGGATCTCCATCGCGTCCAGCTCGATGAGATCGTAGGAGCCGGGCAGTAGCGTTTCGGTCTCCTCCTCGAGCTCTTCCTTGCGAGGATCGCCGCCGCTGGGAGCGACGTTCCAGACCGCTGGAGCGAGAGTTTCTTCCTCGTCCTCGTTGAGGTCTGTGAGATATGCCATGAACTCGTCCGTGTCTTGGCCTTCTTCCAGCTTTGGAGCGCTGAGCTGCTGCTGCTCTCGATCGCGATCCTTCTCGAGATCATCGAAGACGATGTCAAGGCCGAATTTTTCCGTGAGAGATGGCGTGCTGCTGTCGCTGCTGCTGCTGCTCCCAGTTCCAAACAGTGATGAACAGTGAAAGCCCTCGTCCTTCTTGATCGCTCCAGTTGGAGCTTTCACGTCCTTGCTTTCCTCCTCGCCATGTTTGAGCTCCAGGATGCCCTCCATGAACCGATCGAGCAGCTTCTCGATCTCTCGCAGCTGCTGCTGGCTTGAATTGTCGGGCCGCGATGCCAGCTGCATCGCCACCGCCTGGAGGTAGCCAATCTTCTCGAAGAGAGTCGGGCAGCCAGCGCTGGAACGCCGGGGGCTCACCGAAGGACTCATTGGAGGATTGGATGTGGAAGCTGTGACCCTTCGCGGAGGAGAAAGAGGAGAAGTATCAAACGCTTCCACTCCCAGACCCAAGAGAGAATCTTCACAGTAAGAAGAAGACTCCATGTCCCCAAGAGCTCCTTAAAGACAGTGAATAGCGCTCTTGGTCGAAGGAAGAGGGCGACTCCCTGTCACTGCTCTTCTCTCGCCTGGATCTAAGGAGCTAAAGTCTGTACTGAGCAAGATGGGAAGCCACTCACTGTTCTTCGGTCGAAATTTGTCGCAAAGTCAGCACGAAGCATCTCAAGAAAAATTGCTCTCTCGCCGTCAGAGAGAGCCATCCAACCGAATTGCGGCACGATGCTGTCCGATGGTTTAGCGCTTTGACCTGCGATCGCTCCGATCCACCACGCCCGATAAACCCTAAAATATTTGGGGAGAAATTTCAGGGTTCATGAGGAATGGCAGCGGGATTTGTCTTGACGCCCCACAAGCTCTCGATGTGCGTGCTTCTCCAGCTCTACGCGGCGCCGCCCGCGCTCACGCCTCCATTCCCTCTGCCGGCGGCGGTGCGGCATCAGCTGGCGCTCTTCCTGCTCGGATTGGCCAAGGTAAGCACTGCGATCCAAATCGAGAATGCGGCAATCCTAGACGCAGGCCTGCGATGGATTCCTGGAGCCGACGCTCGAGGACCTGGGAATGCAGCTCAAGGAGTGCCTTGGCAGCATTGGCGAGGTGATTGCCGAGCAGCTGGCGAGTCGATTGCTGGGATTTTCATCGCCGGAGGACTTGTTTACCTTTGTTGTGCTGGGACTGAGAGGTAAGCTATTTGTATGCAAAGTTCTTGCGGTTTAAATAGAGATGTTCCAGAGATTGTTGTCCCGGCTCCATACACAGTTCCTGAGCGCGGTGGTGGCAACGAAGATTCATTGCTGGTAGAACACAATAGCCCGCTGGGACAGTTCTTGCGAAGATGCATCTTGTCATTCAACATTCTATCCTTCGAGGTATGTTCTTTTCTCTTTTTTTACTATAGAGTTAGATGGATCTTCACTCGGTTGATTTTCTTACTGTAGATCTAGTTGGATCTTACGCTGACTGCTTTTCTTTTTTTTTTCGTGTTTCCAGGGAACGTGCCGGCTTCTAGCTGAGCTTGATGCATATCGTCGGCCGGCTTTAAGTATTGGTGATGGAAACATAGTTGCAAAAGATTCCTTGTCTTGCCAGCAAGCAGAAGGTGATGATGATGAAGACGAAGAAGAAGATCGGCTAGAAGACGATGAAGACGAAAATGTCATCGCCTCCGTGACACCCGTTCACGGCAGGGAAAGACATGGAAATGGTCGGCGGGCATTCGGAGTTCCATTGATTCCGACTGAAGGTAAGGTCAATGGATCTTTTTGTCCCGGCTAACTTGAGCGACTGCAGGAAGTGAAGAGCTGGAACTGCAAGAGTTCACGGACATGCAGGAGCTCGAAGGTTTTGGTGCAAACCATGTGGGAAACGGTGGAGGTGTTCGAGACGGTGGGTTTGCATTTGCATTTGGTGATGCTGCAAGCAGGGGCGAGCATGCAACACAGGGTAGTTTTCTGCGGACATATGGTCAGGTTGAAGCTTTCATGAAAGACCAAGCCATACTTATAGCCAAGTAAGTTTTCAAGAGTCCTATTGGGTTTTTAGTGGTTCGCTTACTTCCTTTCTTAGAGAACTTGGAACAACGAACAAAGTAGATCTGGACACTAAGCTCAATCTTATAGAAAACTTGGCTCCAGAGATGCACCGGGTACGCGTCGCTTTACTGCCGTTGACAGGTTTTGTAAAACGTGTTGAGCAGGTCCACTATCTTCAGTATCTTAACTCTATTCATCATGGAGACTATCCAGCTGCTATGAGCAGACTCCATCAGTACTTTGATTATAGGTAGGGCCTGCGACGTGTTTCACTTGATCTTAATCTTAATATTCTTTTATTTTAGTGCGGGACGAGGAAACATCGCACCCGGCATCGACGCAAGTGTCGGAAGGTTCCAAGCTGGCCTTCTCACTCTTGGATCTATGCACGCACACTTTGGTCACGTCACTCAAGCGTTACAGGCAAGTGTTTGTTAAGAGTCCTGATTGTATTGAACTGTGTTTTGTTTGCATGCAGGCTCTCAGTGAAACTGTTCGCATCGCTCAACAGGTACAAGTTTTCTGCTCTCACAATCCATCTAACTTTCTCCATGCAGAACAACGATGATACTTGTCTTGCGCATTCTTTGGCTGCTTTGTGCCACTTACTATCGGAAGTGGGTGTTGCTGCCGAAGTTACAAAGGCCGGTGCAATCGGCGACTTTGATCGTAGTATTGGTCCACAGCTCGCTGCTCAGCAGCATTTGCTTCTTTCTTTAAACCGGTGCTTAAAACGAGCATTAGAGCTGAAACTTCCCAATCTAGTTGCATTCAGTCGCTTGGCTTTAGCGAAGTTTGATCTCCAGGTAATCAGAATATCAGGTTTAGTACATATTTATTGATGATTGAAGATGATATGCTGCGTAGCATGTTCGCAGGTTGCCTCTGATCGGAGGGCTGAGAAGCTCCGAACAACTTGGGACATCGCCAGTTGATGTTTGCAAGGTAATACTTTGGATTAGTTATATTAGCTAACGTGTTTCTTCCAGACTCTCAGAATCAGTCCATATCTTCTAGGCGACCTGGTGCACAGTATGTCGTCATCCGGGTCGCAGCGGATCACTTCTGGGGCTTTCGGTCAAGCACCTGGAATGCCCGGAAACTCTCAAACAGGAAGGCTGGGACCTTTGTCAGAATCACTGTTGAAGCTGGCTGGATCCTCGTATCTTCTTCGATCTTGTTCGTGGGAGTTGTATGGCAGGTATGTCGTTTGTTTTGTTTGTCTGTACATCGTTCTGAAACTCTTTTGTACAAGCGATCCGATGATGCGCGCGAGTACCTTGGTTCATGCGTACTGCTACTCCAAATCCGCAAGGTTTGGCCTTGGATTACGCTTGAGTGGAAATGTTTTTCCAACGCTTGTTCTGTCCAGTGCAGATGATTTATCGGTAGCCTATGTAAAGCTTGCCCATCATTTAGCAGCTCATAAGGGATATAGAGGTATCATTAAGCTTTCACCTTGGCCTTTTACGTAAAAGTTTTGCTGTTTCAGTCGCTTTAACTGCGCTGGAGCAAGCAATGAAGAAGTTTCCACTTCATGCTAGATCTTCTTTGCGATCAGTTCAACTTCAATTTATTCATAGTCAGGCTATTAACCGGTATGTTTAGAATAAACCTTGTTTGTGATGTTTCTGACTCATCAAACCTGCAGTGGAAATACCAGGCTTGCATGGGTAGCATGCTCCGAGCTTGCGGCAATGGCTTCGCCAGTCCTAGGCGTTGACATGGAACTAAAGTTTGAAGCTAGTTATCGCCACGCACTAACGCTTCTGGCGTGTAAAAACTACAGTGAGGTACACGTTTGGCTGGCGCTCCTGTTTGCTTTGGTAACGTGTCTTGGCTATGGCAGGCAGCGACTTCAGCAGGAGAACTGTTCGCTTTGTGCTACAAGTATGACATGCAGCTACATGTTGTCAAAGTCTTACTTCTTATTGCTGAGATTCACAAGGTCTTGATTCTTTCGTTTTTCTTTTCGATACTGTTACTCATTCTAAAGAACTCTTGCCCGTCCAGAAATCCGGGAGCGCTGTCACGGGGCTACCATACGTACTAGGCAGCATAACACTCAGCCAGTCACTCAACCTGGACCTTCTCCATGCGGCGTCCAGGGTCAGCTTAGCAGAACTCTGGCTGGACCTTGGAGCCGACCACGCTCAACGAGCACTCGACCTTCTCCAGCAAAGCTTACCACTTGTCCTCGGCCATGGTAGCCTCGAGCTTCGTGCGCGGACCAACCTCTGCATTGCGCGGTGCTACGTAAGCAGCACAGACTTCGCAGGTATCATTTTCTTCTTTGTTAGACTTTGCGGACTTACGTAGTCTTCTTCTTTTGTTTGCAGTGGCTACAGCTCCAGAGCTTGTACTTGATCCACTCCAACTCGCTGCGGAAGAATTCATGAATTTAGAAGTAAGAAACTTTGATACTTACTGGCAAGGCCTTGATTTCAATCGCTCCTCACTTTTTCCAGGACAAAGACCAGGCATCCGAAGCTTTCTACTTGCTGGCCACCACGTTTAACTCGATCGGTCGTATGGAAGATCGAGACAAAGCCGCGGAGAAATTCCAGCAGTGCGTGGTAGAAGAACCGTAAGGCCAGGCCAACGAGCGATAACCAGCAAGGATTCTTCTTCCAGTACGGAGATTCATGTGAATCGCCAAGGTTCCCGATTCCTGTACGTATGTGTCGGTAGCCACGTGTCCATGACGTGTCTGTAATATCTTTTTCTCCTTTTAAAAAACCACCTAGGGTTCTTCCGCTATGGTAGCTATGGCGCCCGCATTGCACGATAAGGCGGCAGCAGCGGTCCTTCCAGAGGAAATTTCGATCGATTCTTGCGGCATTGAGCCGGATCTCGAGGGTGCCGATGCGATCGGCAAGCTGCGCGGCGAGCGGGAGATTGTTCTTGGCAGGAATTTGCACGACCAGTGCTTCTCGATCACGGAGCCCGAGCACGACGACGAGGAGACCGGCGAGAAGGATGTGTACATGGCTGGTGTTCTTGCGCGCTACCGGAAGACGCTGGTAGAAAGGACGAAATATCACCTGGGTAAGAGATTCTCTTCTTCTTCCTTGCTGCTTTGGAGTGTTTGTTTGAGCTCTTGCGATTGGAATGCAGGGTATCCATACAACCTGGATTTCGACTACGGTGCTCTCTCGCAGCTACAGCATTTTTCCATCAACAATCTGGGAGATCCTTTCATCGAGAGCAACTATGGTGTTCATTCTCGGCAATTCGAGGTCGGTGTTTTGGATTGGTTTGCGAGATTGTGGGAGCTGGAGAAGAACGAGTACTGGGGATATATCACAAACTGTGGGACGGAGGGAAATCTTCACGGCTTGTTGGTCGGGTAAACTTATTTCTTTCCTTTCTTCTTCACGGACTTGTTCTTACTTTGATACTTCTTTTTTCCACAGGAGAGAAGTTTTCCCGGATGGCATCCTCTATGCCTCGAAAGACTCGCATTACTCGGTATTTAAGGCAGGACGTATGTATCGGATGGAAGTCGTGAAGGTTGACACACTTCTATCCGGCGAGATCGACTGTGCCGATTTTCAGCGCCGACTGCTGGAAAACCAAGACAAACCAGCCATTGTGAACGTTAACATAGGTGAGTGAGAGAGCGAGTGAGTGAAAGTTCTATTGTCTAGTTCTCGGATATTGATTCATAGTACTGTTTCAGGTACCACTGTCAAAGGAGCAGTGGACGATCTTGATGGTGTGATTAGAACACTGGAAGACTGTGGCTTCTCCCAGGACCGCTTCTACATCCACTGTGATGGTGCTCTCTTCGGGCTCATGATGCCGTTCGTGAAGAGAGTAAGCTCCACAAAGTTCGTGTTCTTCGTGTTCTTAAGCGCAAGGCGTGTTTTTTCTCTTCTTTCCAGGCACCAAAAGTGTCTTTCAAAAAGCCTATTGGAAGTGTCAGCGTTTCGGGACACAAGTTCGTTGGCTGCCCGATGCCATGCGGCATCCAAATTACCAGGATCGAGCACATCAACACGCTGTCCAGGAACGTCGAGTATCTGGCATCCAGGGACGCGACCATCATGGGAAGCCGCAATGGCCACGCACCACTCTTCCTCTGGTACACTTTAAACCGCAAAGGCTACCGCGGTTTCAAAAAGGAAGTGGAGAAGTGCCTGGCAAACGCGCACTACTTGGCCGGTTGCCTCCGGGAGTCCGGATTTGGGGCCATGCTCAACGAGCTCAGCAGCACCGTGGTGTTTGAGAGGCCGCAGGACGAAGCCTTTGTTCGAAAGTGGCAGCTCGCGTGCCAAGGCAAGATTGCGCACGCGGTGGTGATGCCCAGCGTCACGGTGGACAAGCTCAAAGTTTTCCTCAAGGAGCTGATTGAGAGCCGGAGCCGGCTCTTCCCGGACGGGAAAATCGTGGCTCCCTGCGTCGCGGATGAGCTGGGCGCGAAGAACTGCGCTTGCGTCAAGCACTCCTCCTGTTCCTGGTAAGTTTTTCTAGCTTTGGTTTCCTCTTCTCTGATATCTCATTGTTCCAGAGCTTGGCGCAAATCTCTCGGGTGTACGTATCTGCGTAGAAGAGATATTATGCTAGTGGATGGGCGAGCCAACTTTTTCTCGAAACTTTGGACTCCATACAATGATAGAGCTGTTGGATTTCCAGTCAAGAAATTTAGAAAGACAGGGTCATGCTTTTGAGACCTTGAAAGAAAATTAAACTGAGAAGAACCCCAGAAATTTTCTACAGACAAGATCATGCTTTTGAGACCTTGATAGAAAAATCAAACTCTATAATAGAGCTGTGGATTTTCCAGTCAAGATCATCCTTTTGAGACCTTGATAGAAAAATCAAACCCTATAATAGAGCTGTGGATTTTCCAGTCAAGATCATGCTTTTGAGACCTTGATAGAAAAATCAAACTCTAGAATAGAGCTGTGGATTTTCCAGTCAAGATCATGCTTAAAAGAAAAATCAATCCTTGTGATAGAAATCCAAGAGTATCATGGGCGATTCTTCTTCGAGAACTTTGATCGTCAGTAGGGAAGTTACTAAAGCAATCCATCCATTGAAGATGAAACAATGTACACATTCTTCACCGAGAGAGATCTTCCCAAGCCAAGAAGGAAAGAAGAAGAGGAGGGAAGAAGATCATATAGAATTCTCTACTTATCTGGAAAGAGAGCGAGCGAGCGATTAGATTCCCAGAGTAGCGAGCGATCTTCCTCCTTGATCAATTGTCATAGACCCGGCACTCATCCGTCTCTGGATTGTCCTTGCAAAACGCCTCCAGCGGATCCTTGCCCTTGTCCTTGTCCCTCTGGTGAGACGCGGCGGCGCTCACCTCCTCCACCTCGTCCCACGCCACCACGCACTCGGCCGACGCTGGATTCTCCGCGCACACCTCCTCCGCCTGCTTGATGCTCTCCTCCACCTTACCCTCCAGCGGGCTCGCGCACGCGATCGTCGTCGCCATCCTCCTCCTCCGCGACACCAATCGAATCCCCCCCATTCCCCCTCGCGCCGCCGCGCAGGAGCTCCTCCTGGGAATCGCGGAGATCTGCTGCTGCTGCTGCAAGAATTGGGGCTGCTGGAGCGCCATCGTTGTAATCGCGATGGACGCCATGAGCGCACGAGCTATCGATCGATGCGAGGATCTCTGTCCCAAGAGCCCTAGCTCCAGGGCAAACGATCACCACGCAAGGAGGAAGAGATATCACTGCCACGTGGAGTCCGCTGATTGATCGACAGCACGGCAGGTCTATGGCTTCCAAAGCTGCAGGAAGTAGACCATGGAGAGAGAAGGGGAAAATATAGACCGGGTGCTCTAGGAAAAAATCCAACCCATGGTTCCCACATTTCACTTTGCGAGATTTTTTCTTTGTTTTGCCTTGCCTATCAATCGCATTCTCGGGCTCGCTTGCTCAGGCGTTTTTTTTTTTCTCGAGAATTATTCAGGAGTAGCTCTATGATTGATCTGGAACGAGGAAAACTTCGATCTTCTCAAGCGTAATAACAAGGAGCTTACTTGTCGTGATCACGAGCGCGAGCCAGGCGACGAGAACTTTGCGTTGTTTCCCCTCTTGTCATGACCCAGGCGCTACTTCTTCCTCGTTTCTCTGGATGGCAGCAATCTTAGCTCTGGACGAGTCCCCTTGGCCATCATCTGGAAAGAAAACCAATGAAGTTAGTCACTACTGCTTGATCGAAGAGAAAGAGAAATCCTGGAAACCAAAGCTAGAAGTTGGAAACCAAAGTGAGTGTACTACTACCTGCGACAATCCTGCTTCTCTTGCGTGACATCCGCTTGACAAGCCCCTCGTAGAGCTCGACGAGGAGCTTGGGATCCTTCTCCGCGTACATGCTGTAGTCCCCGAACGTCGGCAACACTTGCATGTCCATGGAGGCCGTCCGGAGCACCGCGTCCTTGACAGTCTCCGAGTCATACTTTCGAGCCAGGTCCAAGAGGTTGATGGCGTTGTCCCGGGAGACGTTGCTGACTAGAAACTCCTCGCACACGGCCTTGAGGAGCTTGACGCCATATTTCTCTGCAGCACAGAAGAGAGACGCGGCATGTTTCTTGAGCACTTCGGGACACACTGTGGCGGTGTAGAAGAAGCGCACAAACGCTTCCAACACATCGTGCGAGAAGTCGTCGATTCGGACGACACCGCTTTGGGCTTCCTTCATTTGAGCACTAAACATGGCCTTAAACACAGGTGACTTCCCCGCCTGCGCTAGAAACAGGCAGACAAACAAAAACCACAGGGGCGCTCACATGTGAAAAAACATGTGGGATTGAGAGCTTTTTGTTTGGCAAGGCTGCACTGCTGAGCATCTCTCTCACTCAAAAGCTTTAGAACAAAGCTTTCAAGGAACACACACACACACAAAAAAAAAAAAAAGAACTCGAAGCAAAAAACGTAGAAAACCTCTCATCCCGTTCTCTCTCACGCAAAAGGTTTAGAACAAAGCTTTCAGGGAAGGCAAAAGCAAACAACAAACAACCAACACAAGAAAATGGAGACAAAAGCAAGAAGAAAAAATTCTCATCTCGTTCTAGTCCCAATTCTAACAAAGAAAAAGAGAAAAGTCCTTGCAAGCTAATCCACCCAGAAAAATGGTTTTTCCCGACTTCTAAAGGAAACAAAAACACAAAGAGCCGCAAAAATTCATTCCAGGAAGATCACGAAGAACAATCAAGCACGCATTACTATCAAAAGCCCAAGGAAACCAAAGGAAAGAAATAAACTAGATGCTAAGCTAGGGCTTGAGAGAAAGATCGCTTACCAGGATCGCCTTGTGCGCGCACACATCCGGCCCATCACACGCCTTGAGCGTCACATCCGACAGCGGCAAATCGAGGGTGTCCTGGTCCCAGGCGCGAAGGAATTCGGCCTGGCGCGCCACGGCTTGCAGGCGCCGCTCCTCGTCCCGGAGGCGCTGCTGCGCGGCTTGCAAGCTCCCCACCAGCGACTCCAGCCTGTGGATCCGGCCCCTGTGGCATCGATCACAATACGCGAACTCCACCGCGTAGGAGCGAAACTCGTACCCTGAGAGGAGCCTCTTGCAAAGCACGCATTCCACGCGAGGCATATTCCTCCTCTCTCCGTGTGCCCTAGAGGGAATTTTTTCTAAAAGATTTTTGGCGCCAAGGGCGTTTCGCGCGGGAACGGTTCGCCACGTGGCGTGTTTGAAAACGTTAGAATTTAGGTTAGGACTAGATAAACAAAAGGGTACCATTAAGAAAGAAAAATTAGTCAAATAAAATTGAAAATAAAATCGAAAAGGTGCCAAAAAGGAATACATAAACCCTATGTTAAAAGGTAAATCACTATATAAATCTAGGTATCAAAGCGATCACAACACAACAAAGGATCAATGAGGAAGCTTGTGGTAGTTGCTTTCTTGGCTATATTCTTTGCAGGAGCTACTTCTTCGCGATTGTTAGCGTCTACTCCACCACGATCTCCATCGCCAGGATCTCTAGCAGTGGAGAAATCGATCTCTATAGCTGTTTCTTACACAGGAAAGGATACCTTCGCCGATGGAACCCTTTTGACGTGCCCGCAAACCGCGATTCATCCCAACGTTATGGTCCCCGGAGATGTTGATCCTGCACAGCTTTACTCCATCGTGATGATAGATAGGCGAGCTTCGCGGTCGATGTTTACATTGGCAGATCAATTCACGTACGTCCACTATTGGATCGCCAACATCCCTGGATCAAAGGTTGACGCTGGCACCATTTTGGAGGAGTATATGAGGCCTGCACCCCACGATTTCATGCAGCACAAGTACGAGTTTATACTGTATAAGCAGCAAGGGCAGATCAATACGCCTCTCGCGGATAGATTCGTCAAGGACTGGGAAGCGGTCGCAAGCGCTTACAACCTTGGCAGCCCAGTAGCAACGACTTCCTTTGTCGCGCAGCTCACCCTAAACTTTAGAACGAGAATGTTCCAGTGTTAAACAGGTGGCTTCTTTGAATCATTGCGTGTTGTTCGAAACTAGAGAAAAGAGATTCAACTATTGTTAGAACAAGATCGTCCCAATGTTATAAAGGTGGCGAGATTATAGGTTTGAATTAAGAGAGAACGAAAATAGAGAAAAGAGATACGATTACAGTTTAGAGTGGTGTATGGTGTTGTTTCTCAAGAACACTGTCCCGGATAGGACGACTTTGCCTCTCTCTTTAACTTTGCACTTGAAGGAGATCCTGAAAGAAGACGCAAGCGTTACGGGGATGGTCTAGAAACGATTGCGGGCGCTTACTGCGAGCTCTCGCCTTGTTCTTTCTTCATCAATGTTACGAGCGTTTCGCCCGGATAGACGTGGTGCAGGAACCTGGAGCTGATCGTCGCAATTCTCGTCGGATCGCCGTCGCAGCAGCACCGAATTATAGCTCGCACGGCATAGCCAAGCGTGCAAAGCCCATGAAGAATGGGACGCTGGAAGCTGTGTTTTTAAATCCCGTCACAGACGTCATTCGCAAGAACAACGCTTACCCCGCATCTGCGGCGAACTTTGGGTCCGAATGCAAGGGATTCATGTCTCCTGAAAGACGGTAAAGTAACGCCTACATCACGGACGAGTAACTTTTACGCTCTAAAAGGAAAAACAAAAAATTAAAATTAATCTCTCGTTACCTGGTTCGGCCTGATTTGATCTTCAAACTCGAAGTCTGGAGGAGTTGCGTCGAATTCTTTCTCATTGAAACTGATGGCTGGAAACTGCGACGATGTTCGCGACGAGAAGGAGAACGGGCTTCCAGGACCTGCCGAGAATCCGCCAGCACCGCGTAAAAATGCCAAAGTCCTGCAAAATTGTTGACTTAGCGCTAGGCCTACTCTCCAATTGTACAAAAGCTACAACACCTTTGCAGACATAGCAGTTCCCCGGTATCGATGTCTCGGTGCAAGAGTTCCATTTCAATTAACGCGGCTTTCCCTAGAAAAGTGACGCTCGGGCCTATCATTTTTGCGCATGAAAAACGAAACAGTCGTACCTTTGTCGTGAAGACCCGAAATTCGTTTGCTGCTACGAACCTGAGATAGAGACACTCGGACATGAAGGAAAAAAGAGAAAGGAGAAACCTTACCCGTGCACTCGTTGGAAGAGGTTTGTAAATCTCCACATACTGTTCACCGTGCAACAGTAGCTTCGGATCAAAGCTGCAAATTATATACATTTTTTTCCAGGCTAAAGTCAATGAAAACGAGAGATGGAACTTACAACTTACTTGAGGCCGCGAATATCACCAAAAGTTCCCACAAGCCTGTTATTGAAAAGTACTGAAAACGTGGGAAGAACCTACGCATGATAACCTCTAATTGTCAATGAGAAGAAGAAAAAAACTTCCCTTGCCTTGATAAACTTCTGGCCATTCGGATGATAGACATAGGAAAGCTCCACGGGATCAATCGGATCTACCGCCGCCGCGCCGACGCCTAACGCATAGAGCGCCACATCCCTGACCCAACGAACAACGAAATTTAGGAGAAAGAAGCGCGATTTCGTCATACTTCTCGGTGTAGCTCAGATCATCCTGCCAAGGACGCGATCAGACAAAATTCTGGTGAAATTTCAGCTGGAATACCTCTGGAAATCGATGCGTGAGTACCTCCTCGGCCACAATCGGGGGTATCGGCTGTCGCCGCTCCTCCATGCCTATCACACAGGACCACGATAAAAAATTAGGGCTCTAGCGAGTCAAATGACCGGGTCTTGACTCATTTTGACTCAGTCAGCGATGGTAAATGAGAAAGCCACTAGATCTTTCTTTTAATCGCGTGAGAGAAACGTTGTCAAACGCAAACGCGCGTGCACGTACTTTCACCGTGTGTAACCGCACACTGCCAAAGAGTTAAAACAAGTAGAAACTTCTCCTATGAAAGGAAGAGGAACCTAACGCAAATTAAAATTCGCCAAAGTCCATTTTGCCCGCGCCTTGACGAAATTGCGCCTTCTTTTTCTCTCCACTCGTTCCGGGGTCGGCATTTAACCACAGTGATTCCCGTCCTTTCATCTTCCATTCCCCCATATTCACGATTCCCTCGTCGCGCGATCGATCGGTTCTAGTTAGCGCAGCGCTAGTTTCGTGTTAGATTCTTCACGCATTCCATCCATCATCCATCACTCGATCGATCAGTGGGCAAATAGGGTGGAATTGATCGAATTCTTGCAGCAATGACGGATCGAATCCATCCCGCGGCATCGCCCTCCGCCCCGATCCTCGAGGAATCCAAGCGTCTCAATGGAGCGTACCAGCAGAAGATCCCCGATCAGCTCTTCCCGCCCCATCCCGCCGCCTACGTCCCGCCGGCAAGGCGGCGATCGCGCCGCTGCTGTGGCGGCCTCTGCCGCTGTCTCTGCTGGCTGCTCGCCCTCTTCGTCATCATCGTGATCCTCCTGGGCATCACCGCGCTCGTCTTCTGGCTCGTCATCCGCCCCGTGCGATCGCCCAGCTACAACGTCCAGGACGTGTCACCGGTGTTCACGATCTCCACCGATTCCAATCCGCCGCTGCTGGATGCCATCGTCTCCTTCACGGTGCGCGCCGAGAACCCAAACCGGAGGATCGGGATCTACTACGACCGGGTCGCGATCTACCTCTACTACGCGGGATTGCAAGTCGGGGAGAGCTCCATCGATCCGTTCTACCAGGGCCACCGCGATGTCAGGTTCCTGAGGAGCAATCTCACCACCACGGATCTGCCCCTAACCCAGGAGCTGGCGACGAGCTTGAGGAACGATATCGCCCAGAATCGCGTCCCTCTGGACGTTCGCGTGAGGGTCAAGGCTAGGGTCAAGATCGGCGCGCTAAAGTCGCCGCGAGTCAAGGTGAGGAGCCACTGCAGTGTTGTTGTCCGCCCAGACGGGGCGGGGCTCTTGGAAAGGAATTGCAGGGTGAGAGTGCGACTCTAGAGGAAGAACGCCCTGCAGTATATACTCGCGCTTGTTCATTTCCGTAAAAAAAAACATTCTTTTGCATTTGTTTAATTCTTTTTTAGCCTTTATTTTTCAATAAAGTTCAGAATTTAGGAGAGGTTTGGAAAAGATCAAAGAAATAAATCCACTGGGAATAATTTGATTTTTGAAGATCAAGATTGGTAGAAATCAAAGAAAATAATTTGTTTTGCTTAGTAGTAGCAAGGCTTGGTTTGCTTTAATAATACAATTACTATCTTGATAAACTTTTGAATATTTTATAACATATTTTTTCCTTAGAATTTTCTTAGTGTAAAATGTTTTTAAACCAAATGCTATTCTGATTAGAGAACAAAAGAAAAATTCCAAGCATTCACATGCATGCAAGAAACCTTCACAAATAAATGACAAGTTCTTAAAGATTATATTTCCTCTTTGATCCATAAAGTTGTAGTTGTCTGCAAGATAAAGGTTCAAGTAATTCTAGTCAGAGGTAAGCATTGGAATAATTGGTCAAGTTGCAAGGTTATGGAGCTATTCTCTTATCGACAACAACTAGAAATTAACTAACTAGGCAATGTAGTATAAGGTGCCATACTCCTCGACTGTCAGCACAATCTTATTGACATTCATTGTGGCCCTCTAGCTGCTAAGGAAAATGTGTTTAGATCTTATTTTTTCCTCTTTAAACACACAGGAGCGAAAGGCAAGAAACGAACTCCAAATCCAAAACAGACGCATCGCACGCAAGGAATCGCAGCTCCGCGAACTAACTGCCAAGCTCTTGACCCTGGAGGTTTGCTTCTATGTGCTAGCGAGTCTCTATGTCATGTTACTCTCCAGTAATGCCAAAGAGAAGCCCGTCACTCGTCACTCGCACGCTACCAAACTTTTATTTTTCTTCTAGCTCGGGATTGTGTTTAGGCAATCGCTATCGATCAGCAAAGACAAGGCTATCCTTTGGTGAGGTCGTGGTTTTCCATACATTCCTTTAATCGCATCTATGGTCGAGAGCCTCCACAGGTCCAACGCTCATCTCAATGCTGGACGAGGCGCTCTGAATGGTGGAGAGGCTGTCCTGCTGGAAACTCAAGGCACCCAGCTCCTGCGCGACGAAGCCTCTCGAGACGAGGCCTGGACGCCGGCCTTCTCTGCCGAGGATTAAAAGTTGCGACACGACATAAGTTTACCTTATATTCCATTTTAGATTCTTTTTTATTTGAAGTGCGAGGCAACTCATGATTAGTAGCACCTCTTGGCCCGTGGTTTGAGGAATAGAGCAGCACTTGGATTGCCTTAGGAACTGTGAGAAGGCTCAAAAATTTTGGAACCAATTGAGCAATCAAATGTGGCACAGTAGATTTAGTGTTTCTAACTCAACAACCTACTATAGCATGATTCAGTTTTTTCTTCGACTCCACGTACAACTATCATGTCGACCAAGTAGGGGCAGCCTTGCTCAATAGCAAGCAAAGAAAAACAACAAGAGGTTCTCTCATGAAGCAAGCTTGTTTGTCTTGCTTGAGTAGCTCATATCGCTAGAACTTGATACTAGAAATGTCCTCCCTCAACAATTGTAAGTCCTCTTGTATTTGAGAAACAAGATGATTAGCATTTTCACATCTTGCAAATCTGTAGTCATTGGTATTCAAAATGACTCATAACAATATTTCTATCTAGATCTCTGCAAGAACTCGAGAAGAACACACCTTGGCTTCCTTATGCTTGGCATTTCACTCAACAAGACCAGAAAAGAATTGATCTCTTTTAGTGTTTAACTCACTACCAACTTGCTTCACAATTCAAATTAATCAGTTATTGTTCTCATGGCGATTAAAGGCTTCGTATGTACGCAGCTTTATGCAGCTTGGGAGCCTAGAAGATCACTTACATAGCTTGTATATTGTTTCCTACATATAAAACTAAGTAAGCGTTACATGCAGACGTGCTAGCCAGAATTGTTGGGTTGGAATGCAAAGATGAAAATACAAGAGCTCCCAAAGGACTAAAGCACTTGTGTGCCAAAGAAAATCCTCCAGTTATTTATTGGAATTTCAAATCTTACTCAAAAAGAATATCATCCCAAGCTTTCAAATATTGGTCTTGCAAAGCTGAGTCCAATCACACGCAAAACACACGTTTGAACCTATGTAGTGCCAACTTATGGATATTGTGCACCCAAGTATCCCATGATAGGACTTAAGTTGGAGATTTGGAGCTGTTCTTTTGGAGCTAATTATTGGACGGGAGGATTTAGAAAAAATCTTGTTGCCTGAATAAGCTTATATGCTCCTTTTTTTCCTTCTTCCATACATAAATGTTTAGGCTAAAGCTTTAGCCAGTTCGCAAATGGACAAACAAGGAACTCAGCATTGATTTTATCGAGATTGCATGTTATGGGGGAAGCATGTTCACATCATGCTTGATGTCGGCTGTGATGTCTTGGAGGTTTTTTGTTTGATAAGTATTCATTTACTCCATAAGACGAACACAAAGCCGAAATTAAGTGGAATTTCAGTAATTCTTGTAGTATATATATGATTATGTGGCATGTAAATGGTATGCATTTATTTTTTTAGCACTCCAATGGACAAAAACAAACCAAAAGATGTACAAATGTGGAATCACCTTTATCATCACGAGTAACTAATAATATGTATTGATTGTTAAAAATCTATTTGTACGTTTTTTTCAATTGCTCTAAGAGAACTTCTCGTCACCTCAAATCTACATAGATCAATTTGAGGATGGATTTTCTTGTTGTAACTTAAAAGAAGTATCTCTCTATAATTACAGCATAAATCTGTTTCTTGCCAAGTTTGATTTTCTTCATGCACTTCAATGTAGGTTAAATGGGAATGAAGAAAAGAGTAGAAGCAACTGGTCATCAAGGCCTGGAAGTACTTTGATTTTATCTTTTGTTTTCTATTGTTTTCACACAAGATTTTGGCTTTTGGCACTAGAAAATTCCTAGAGCCTAGACTTCAACTCAGTATAATTCCAGTGTTCTCCAAGTAAACAACCCTTGTACCTAGAGAGTTCTGAACGATCTGTGCAAAGAAGTTTGATAAACAGCAAAGAAGCATATGAACCAAACCAAACACGAAATATCAAAAAGAAGGAAGAAAAACTGATCATGTAAGAACAACAACGTGAAATAAGGCCAAAACATTGGAGGAAGAAACAAGGGGAAAGCCCAAGGAAAGAAGATTTCACTTATACCAGATCGAATGAGTTCTATCCCACTAAACACGGCGAAGGTCAAACAGTGAAACCATTTCAGCTCGGCATGTGCATCTGGTCATACGAATCGAGCAGAAATACTGCGACTCTTGAGCGCCTTCTCTGACTATGGCTTGCAAAATCATCACGCCGATTCTTTTCTCTCCACTTTGCTTTGCAGACCCAATCAGCAGGATGGGTGGTTCGCTTCCGAAGTGGAGTAGAACGAAAGCAATCCTAGATTCGCGAGCTCGAAATCCATTTTTATAGTAACGGTGCCCTATTATATTGGCGGTGATGGAAGCTCGAGCATTGGGGTTCTCCTGGTTACGACGCTCTCCAGCACAGGCAAGAACACAGGCAAACACACAGGCAACAGGATTGAAGATCCTTCTCCTCGAGGTGTGTACAGCTCGCCATTTTTTCTTGTTCTTTGACATTTTTCGCGTGCAGGCGACTCCTGCCGCAACAGCGGACAAGAAAGCAGGGGATTACCAAGCACTGCCCTTGCAGCTCGAGGCAGTGATCGCCAGCAGTGGCCCAGCATCAAGTGTTCCCAAGTATGATGCACCTATACTCGAGGAGGATGACGAGCATGAGTGTTCCCGAGTATGATCCACCACCATTACCTGTACTCGAGGGTGACAACCATGATTCGCAAGAGGTAACTCGAGAGCTAAGACGGTTTGTTTGGAACCGCACCAACCTTCTCTTGCAGCTAGAGGCGGTCATGGTTGGCATTGTGGATTCAGTTCAGTATACTTCTCTCGGTGGCAAGACTCTTGCAATCAACGACGACGATGACAACCTGAGCTGGAGGAGATCTAGAGCTTCTTTCAGACAACAGGCCATCCAACCATAGCTCCAATACCATGTTGTAAAGGGATCTGGACAAGCCGGGGATTGAGAACTCCTCCCTGGTTGTGTGCTTGTTCAGCTTAGTTCCAACAGGACATTCCCGTTGGTGCAGCTACCATCCAGAGCCGAAATTCATCTGGAGGTGGAGGAACTTAAGAAGCTAATTGGAGAGCGGACTTGGAAGCTACCGACCACTCTTCAGTCGATAAAAGAAGAAATGTGGAGCAGGCTTCTGAACGTGGGACGTCCCAGGAATTATGGGAAGAACTCAAGAACTTCCGGGGGTGGCATCAATTCCCAGTGACCAGTTCCCGACAAATGCTTCTGGAAGCATCACCAGGACATGGACCTTCTCTATTCCGTGGGGTGGATCGCTTCATAGCTCCACCCCACGGAATAGAGAAAGAAATTTGATCCAGAAATCCACCCCAAAATTTCTGGATTTCAGAAATTTGCAAAAGCAGCACAACAAGATGGAGAAGAACAACCAGTTTCAGTCTTTTGGCAGAGGTTGCAAGGCAATGGCACCAGCACCGTGAGAAAGCACAGGAGGCCTCCAGACAAGAATAGTGATGAACAAGAACTTGTGGCAGCAATGGCCGAGGAGTCATCCTACAAGGTATGTCTCTGTGAACAGGAATCAGATATGTATTTGTACTAAGATGTACACTGAACAGGTGCTAAAGTCTCATGCAGCAGCAGGATCTCGAAAGTTGAGGCAAGTTGATGTTTCATCGACACCAGTTTGGCAGAGCCTGCGAGGCGATGGCACCAGCACCGTGGGAATGCACAGAAGGTTTCCATACAAGAATAGTGAAGAACATGCAGCAGCAATGGCCGAGGAGTCATCCTACAAGATATGTCAGGAATCAGATGTATTCGTACTAAGATGGACATTGAACAGGTGCTAAAGTCCCATGCAGCCACAGGAATTCCATCTCAGAAGTTACTGGCCAGTGGCACTGGTGACACTAAGGAGGCTAGCAGCAATGCTTCACCACCACCAGCATCGCCACCACCTTTTATGTGGCGGTGGTTCCCTCGAAGCTTGGGCGAGGATGGTGGGAAGGAAGGCCAAGAGGATCAACACCGAAATGTTTCAAGAAGCTGAAGAGACTTCAATATCAAGCTCTCAGAGTTTAGTGTTTGCGGGGTGAGCAACGGCAGCAGCATTGCCAGTGAATTCATCCAGTTATTTGAAGGAGAAGGCATTAGCAGCAGTGATGCCATCCTGAACTCGCTGTTGGAAGGCGAAGGTGGCTGCAGCAGCAGCAATGCAGATCTTCGGCTGGCTTCCTCCAATGATCTCAACTTGCAAGCGATGGCTGTGGCGGCAACCCCGCTGCTTCTTCCAATCCATGCCGTGGTGCTGGTTGCGCTGCTCTTCCTCTTCTTGCTCTCCTTCCTCTTGGTGATCAAGAGGAGGTGGGGGAGGAGGAACAGAGGGCTCCTGAGTTCCACCTTTCGATGCAAATGCATCAGGATGTGCAGTGGACGGGATCAAGTTGTCGCAAGCATGGCTAGGTACTTGGATCAAAACTTGAAGGCGGTGGCCTAACACTGCGTGATGATCCCCATCGGGAGTGATAGAACTTTGGTGGCAGATTTTCATCGGCTGGAAGCAATAGTTACATTGCCAATAGCTTTGTGTCGCAGCTGATGCCAAAGGATGAGAAAGGATGCATGCAAAGCCTTTTCTCGTGCAAGCCAGGAACGAAAGGAAGAACAGTGAGCGAAAGAAACTGTTTTGTCAGCTGCGGCCATGAACATCACCTGAAGAGTGAATGCGCAAACAGTGCCTCCATCAAACCCCCACACAAAGGTTTTCCCAATGTTTGTAGCGGCAGCTAAGAGCATTCCATCCCCACTATCAAAACAAAGCTGTGTGATCAGCATAAGTTCTAGAAAAACTACGCAATGGATCCAGAGAGCCACTTCGTACCTGAAGTCTAGGGACTTCAACTTAGCCGATCCAATCGCACAGTGTTCGTCAAGCAAAAGCTCCATGGAGATGTCGTGTGAAAAACATCCGAGATAAAAATTAAGAAGGAAACAATCCGCACACCATTCCCTCAATTTTAAACATTGTTCTGTGGACACAGCTCTCACTATGAAGGAGCCAAGTTCCATTGGGATGAATTGGAGCCCGTATGGAGCGAATAGGAAACCATTTTCGATGCACTGGATTGACAACCTGTTCCAAAAAACTTGATTTTAATCATTTTCCTTCATTTAAAAGCATCTAGGCACATATTCAATCCCCCTGATTAAAACACGTACGTTGGTAACGCTTCAATTTTGATTTTAGTTGCGCTTCTTTCTTAGGACTGCTGGTCTATCTCTCTATTTATCCCTGCATTTTAGTGCTGTTCAGCCAGCATCAGATCAAGATTGCCTCCTCTTTATTGCGTTAATTCCTCTGCAAAGAAGTAGCGAGCATAGATTTTCACATTCAAGTGGTAAGAAAGCTTCTTAATATAATTCCTTCTTTCTTTCCATCCATCTAAGATTTTTGAAATCTGGCAGGAACCACATCTCCTGAGAGTCTCAATATGAAGTTTGCAGCAATGGTAATGCGATACTATAGTGTTACAAAACCTTCTTGCTGGTTTTATACCTAGCCATGTAAGTCAATGTACAAGAATGTTCCAAATGGTGTGACCTTCACAGAAAAGGTGAGCATAAAAGTTTCAGAAGGCAAACTCTCTCAATAGCTTAATGCTAATTGTCATTTTTTCACATCTAAACTTAATATGCAAAGAATATTATAATAGGATCTTGTCATTTAGGGCTAAAATTGCAATACATCATTTTATTCTAATTGAGAATGCTCATTTAATCAAGGTTTATGTTCATTGTCGATTATTAAAAGAGATTAAAATTTTATATGCCACTGTTGATTGGGTGCTACACTACCCTACAAATCTGGATGGGCATGCTAACAAGTTTTTTCCTTCTTTTAGGAAAATATTCGGAATGTGACGAGAAGTGTGGAGAATGCAAGAGCTGCAAGGCCAAGGCCACTGGCTCTCCAAGGCCAAGTTGTTCCTTAAATTTTCTCGCTGCTCGACAATTAGGAGACAACGTAAAAACTTTTGGTACATTTTATCTTTGACTTACGATAAGTTGTGAGCCTCTCCTCGTTGTTTCTAGTGAGCATTAACCTCCAACGTGCGACCTGCTAGTCGGCTAGCTCTGCGTTTCCCAGAAAACCAAATCCTGTTTTTTCTCTCGGCATCCCCACCCAAATCCAGAAATTCTCACCACCACTCGATCAGATCAACAGTATCGAAGGAATCCAAATCAAGGCAATGCTGGAAAACAACCTACTGCAGGTATTTTGCGAGTTACATAGGAAAAATCTATGTAGTCCTCCGTGTAGCAATCACTAGAGAAATGCTCACCTTATGACAACATGTTGATGCATTTGATCCATTTTGCATCCAACATCTTCGTTGCTATTCCCTTGACGATCCAATATTCAACTTCATCATCAGAATACCAAATTAATAAGCTATATATTGGAGTGTCTAAGATTTTGTTTTAAAGAGGATTAAAAATATCCATCAGGAATTATTAAACTCTATGCAGATGGTATTGAAACTGATGCATGAAAGATATTTTAAATCCTGGAAATGCTCGATGGTGGTGACGTTTTCCAGCTTTCTATTTTAATGATTAACCATTTGTATATCTACCAGCAATTTCTTCAAATTTTGCTATATATTTTTAGCAAAGTGTTGATTCAAATTAAGGGATGATTGTATTCTTAAGATGATAAAAATTGGTAATAATGTATTGCAACATTTTGTCACCAGGGTTACATCCATTGGCAGAGAAATGTTGATGTCATTATTGTTACTACTATTGTTACATTAGACCACTAATTTATCATAATATTCCACTGTAGCATGGCCGTGGAGATATAGGCACCCAATGTGGACCTTTTAACCACTGAAGGTATATGTTCAGCTTACAAGTTTCTGTCGTCCTTCTAACTCTTGTGCTTCTGGGAGCATCTCCATAAAAACAAATTCATGTGTGCATATCAGCCAGCCAGCTGGCTGAAATCAACGTTTCTGTCGTTGCTGCAAGCTTCGAGCTTAAAAGCCTATGCAAGCCTCTGTTCAATCTCGCTGGGCTCGCATATATATTTCTTATTTGCACAATTCTACATGATGGCACAATCCAAGCTGTTTCTTGCGCTTATGATAGCACTTGTTGTTGCTGCTGCTACTGGCACTGCTGGAAGTTGCGTTGAGGAGCGCAGCGCGCTTGTTGGAGCTGGCTGCGATGGATGCCACTGCACCGAATGCGTTTGCCCGGTAGGAGTTGGACCGGGATGCACTCCCGCGTGCCACTGCAGTGCTTGCGTTTGCCCTGCCTCGCTGCTGGCTCAGGAATTGCTCGGGGCTCAGTTTCTTCATGTTTCCGTTAAGCATGCTTGATCTCTCAGAGCTCATGGGAGAAGCCACCTGATATGTGTGTACTCGTATCGAATGTAATGTGTTGCTGGCAACACATTGCTGCATCGAATAAAATATGTTGCCATTTCATAGAAGAAGAGTACTAAAAAGAAAGAACTCCAAAAAATTCAGCTAAGACCGCACAATCCAATATAACAAAAAAGCCTATCAAAGTCTCTCGCATCTCAATACGTCTCTTCCTCGATCCTCCTCCAAACCCAGCGCCGCCGCCTGGAGCGCCACCACCACCACCACCCTGGTACATTATCGCGATCACCAGGTTGCAGATCCCCTCGAGCGCCTTCTGCTTGTCCTCGAACTCCTCCACCTTGCTGGGACCCTTCTCTCCGGCATTCCTCCGGCTCCCAGGGGTGTCTCGCAGATCACGGTTGCGTTGCCAATGGTATCCTCAACGTTTGAGAAGTTCAAGGCGGAGGACGACGAGGCGAGGAAGAAGATCGACGCCAGGAACGCGCTGGAGAATTATCTATGCGTACACCATGAGGAACACGATCCGGGACGACAAGGTGGCCGGGCAAGAAGAAGATCGAGGAGGCGATTGACAAGACGATCGAGTGGCTGGATGCGAATCAGCTGGCGTATCTTGGCAGTTTGGACATCTGCATCGCACATGAATAAGGAAGACAAGTGGTACCTAAGCAGACCTTCTCGACGTACTAGCCGGGGAAGGTACTTCTTTTCTCCTGAAGGAAAAATCACTCGGTACAAGCTGAACATATGGTTCCGCGAATACAAGACGTCGTTTATTTGGGATTGGGGCTACAAGGTCTGGCTGCTGACTGGTGTTGACTAGCGCAGGCTTTGTTGACGTTGTCCATACACAAGCTGCAGCAGCTTTTTCACTGCCAGCGTGCACACGGTGAAGAGGTGAGCTTTGCCAACTCTCGTAAGGACCTTAAACCTTAGTGTTTTAATTATATTCATATTTCCAAGTAATATTTTTGCATTTATTTAATAAGTATTTATTCATAGAAATTTTACTTTTTCTTGAAATTATATTAAAGGTTTCCAATCTACATCCCAGGTTCTTAATTAGATTTCAGGTTGAAATTGATCACTATGTTATATTGCCTAGCAAATGTTGGGTGAATACAAAATCAATAATTTTATTCAATGTTTTTGCCTAAAAATAAAAGAATTTAACCCCTTTTTTATAATAAAGTTTAAATTTAAAAATCTGATATACATGGGCTCTGCCCGCGCGAGTTCGAATCTCCCAGGCGAGCTAGGTTTTTATTTACTCGAATGGCGCATATTCTTCTAGATCCGTTTTGATCTTCACGAGTATTTCTTCGCCCTACGCATCTATCTCTCCATGGCGCACAGGCATCGCGTCGCGAGGCTGCTGCGATGGAAATGGCGGCGCGCTGGACCTGCGATGGCTCTTGTAAGTCACTGCCAGGAATCCTCCAGCTCGTGGATTGGATTGCGGGAGTTTTGGCTCGGGAGGATTGGCCACGGATCGCGATTTCCATCTCTTTCTCCATCGAGGGGCTATTCCATGGCTTCTGCGTCCACACAACCGCAAGAGAGTGAGAATGTGATGGCCGTGGACATGGGGCTAAACATTCTCAAGGACGGCGTGGATGTCAAGAGCGATGCTTTCCACGCAAATCGCAAGGCTATGGAAAGACTCGTCTCCGAGCTTCGTGAGAATGTCCGCAAGGTGCTGCCGATCTTTCTCTCGACGTTCTCTACGTTTTCATTGTTTTTTCTTTGTTGAAAGGTTTGCAATGACAGGGACCCGAAGACTCTCAGCCGCCATAGAGCAAGAAACAAGCTCCTGCCGCGAGAAAGAATCGACCAACTTTTGGATGCTGGATCGCCTTTCATCGAATTGTCCCAGGTGATAACAGTGTCACAGTTTTACTTCCTTTTCCTCTGATAAAATGTGACAAACTCTTGTGAGCAGCTAGCGGGATTCGACATGTATGACGAGCAAGTTCCTTCTGGAGGGATTGTCACAGGGATTGGATCGATCCACGGCCGGCTGTGTATGCTCGTCGCCAATGATCCAACAGTAAAAGGTGGAACTTACTATCCTATCACGGTAAAGAAGCACCTTCGAGCTCAAGAGATCGCAGCTCAATGCAGCCTCCCTTGTATATATCTTGTGGACAGTGGAGGCGCAAATCTCCCCCGGCAAGCCGACGTTTTCCCGGATAGAGATCACTTTGGCAGGATTTTCTACAACCAAGCGCGGATGTCCGAGGCTGGAATACCTCAGATAGCGCTTGTTCTGGGCTCGTGTACAGCAGGTGGTGCTTACGTTCCAGCCATGGCCGATGAGAGTGTCATTGTGAAAGAAAATGGGACGATTTTTCTTGCTGGACCTCCCCTTGTCAAGGTACGGCTTCGTTCCTTTGTGGCTTCGTGGCTTTGTTCTCGTGCTGCTTTTGTTTTTGTTTTTCTGGCTTTTCCGTTTTCGTTTCTTTAACTTTCTTTCTGTGTGCTTTCTCAGGCTGCGACCGGAGAGGAAGTCACTGCTGAAAATCTCGGAGGAGCCGATTTGCACTGTAAAGTATCAGGAGTAGCCGACCACTTTGCGAAAGGTAAGGATCTTTCAGTTCGAATGTTTGCTCACAGTTTTTATGTTCACAGATGAGCTGCATGCTCTTGGAATTGGTCGAAAGATTGTCCGGAATTTACATCTTGCTGCGTCAACTCCCAACGTAAAGCTGGACGAAGACGCTGTCGTAAGGGAACCATTGTATGATCCTTCTGAATTGCATGGCATCATTCCAGAGGATTTGAGGCAGTCTTATGATATTCGCTCCGTCATTGCTCGAATTGTGGACGGAAGTGAGTTTCACGAGTTCAAGAAGCTATATGGAAGTGTAAGCTTTTTCGAATTTGTCTTCCTTCAAAACTTACTGATCTCAAATCTTCCAGACGCTGGTCACAGGATTTGCAAAGATTCATGGACAGTCCGTTGGGATTCTGGGAAACAATGGAATTCTTTTCACTGAGTCAGCCTTGAAAGGTGCTCACTTCATTCAGCTCTGTGCTCAACGCCACATTCCGCTACTATTTCTTCAGAATATCACTGGCTTCATGGTTCGTATCAACGAACTTTATCCTTCTATCCATTTCATGTGATTTTATTTATGATAATTTTAGGTGGGATCCAAATCCGAGGCTAGTGGTATTGCCAAAGCGGGTGCCAAAATGGTCATGGCTGTTGCTTGTGCCAAGGTTGCTTTGAAAAACTTTAGATAATAGTTTCTTACCTGTTTGAAACTTTTCTAGGTGCCCAAGATTACTGTGATAGTCGGAGGGAGCTACGGCGCCGGGAACTATGGAATGTGCGGACGTGCTTACAGTCCCAACTTCCTTTTTCTGTGGCCAAACGCTAGGATCTCGGTCATGGGAGGCAGCCAGGTATGTTTCTTCATATAGTTTTACTTGAGTCAGCGAGAGCTTTTTTCCGATCAGGCAGCAGGAGTTCTCGTGCAGATTGAGAAGGAGCAACGCTCCAGGAAAGGAAATCCAGTAAGTGTTTCTCGTGAACATTTCTTCTCTTGTATGATGGTGGCTCTGTTGCAGTGGAGCAAGGAAGAGGAGGAGCTGTTTAAATCCAAGACTGTAGAGTCTTATGAGCGAGAGGCCAATCCTTATTATGCTACTGCCAGGCTTTGGGACGATGGCGTGATTGATCCTGCGGACACGAGACAAGTTGTAGGACTGTGTCTCAAGGCCGCATCTCAAAGCTCTCCACAAACTTCGAAGTACGGAGTTTTTCGGATGTAACTACAGAAGATTGGATCTAACAAGATCTGCAAGATGAATACTATTTTATAGTCCTCAACTTTACTTATTCATTCTTATTTAATCAGGGTACAAAAATGCAAGTGAAGTCTGAGAACTTTACTTTGTTCCACGTTTAGCTAAGTCACTCGCTATCATGTTTCTAAGCCTAACATATCTAAAATAGTATAAATAGTAGTATAATTATAATAAGGCTTACTGTTAATATCTAGAGAAGTGAAGACAATAATTACTACTAAAATACTAAAGCAATAGAAAAGAAAAGATAAATTTATATGAATACTCTGACTTTAGAAATTAATTAAGTTTATATCTCAAGTTAATTTAGAAAGTTAAACTCTTCATACTAATTCTAAATACTCATTCATGTGCATTTTTTATTTTGAGTTTAAATCTGATGAATTAAGGTTTAAGGTTTAATTCCCACAACAATCAGTAGTGGTGAATATACTCTCAATAAATACAAAGAGATGACAAATACATAATATTATCCCCCTAATGTTGAGAATCAAGCAACAACTAAAGTGGTGTAAGACCATGCTTAAGTAGATAATATTGATGGAGATTCACAACAAACTTAAAAGCATAAGCATGATGAGAAACAAACTCTTAAGTATGATTGTTAGGAAAATATCCAAGTTAATCAATTAAATAATAGAGTTTGGCAGCAACCTTAAATTTCTACTCTGCAATAATAACCATTGGTGGTGATTGGAATATAAACAAAATCAAAAAGGGCATAATAAAGTTTTAATGAAGAAAAATGAAACATTGTATGAATGGAGAAAGATTAAGTCAATAAATGATTTAGATATGTGAGAAAGCAAAAAGAAAGAACACAATCATTGATAATCTAACTTGCTACAAGGGCATATAGTCTTTCAATAATAATGAAGAAGTTAAAGGCTTAAATTGGTAAGAATAATGAATAGTACAATAATGAGAGAAAGGTGACGGTGAACATCTATCATCTCATGAAGATAGAACTCATAAAGAGAATTTAAAGGAGTAGCATGAGCAATAATAAAATTATTTATAAGATCTAGTATTAAAGGAAAATAAATATAACCAATGAGGATTAATGTTATAGTTGAAAAAGAATGAAAAGTGATGTTTTAAAGAATACTAAGAATTATTATATACAAACTTAATAAAAAAGATTAACTCAATCATTTTGTTAATGGGAAATAAAATATTAAAGATATTGCTCTTTTATCTTCTATCTAGTCTTCTCCAATCTAAGGTTTAGATTAACTCAATCTAAACCTTGAAAGCTTTAGAAATTTATTTATATGGATTTCCTTACTAATCTTCTACCTTCTTAAAGATTTGATAACATCTTTGTTGTGGTCAATTAGTTTTCCAAAATGGCACGTTTCTTGGCATGTCAAAAGAATATTAATGAAAAACAGTTGGTTAAGCTTATTTATAAAAAGATTTTCCATCTTTATGGACTACCAAATGATATTTTTAATGATTAAAGGCTTTAATTTGTTTTCACATTTGGTGCTAGTTTATTTCCTTTTTTGTCAAAAACAAATTGTTAACTTCTCTTAGACTAATGGGTAATGAACAGGTATTATTTAAAATATTTGAGTAGTATCTTGATGTTTTATTTCCCATCAATAACATAATTGAATTGATTTCCTTTGTTGTATTCAGTTTACTTATAATAATTTTTAGCATTTTTCAACACATCACTCTCCATTTTTTGTGTACTATGGCTTTAATCCTCATTAGTCATATTATCCTTGTTAGCTAGAAAAACACTACAAGAAAATATTTGCCAAACTTCTTGAACAAATAGATGGGTCGCTTAAACTATTTCAATTTGCGACTTAAAGAGTGATCAAGAGGAGTAGAGAGCTATACAAAGAAATTAATTTAAAAATGAAAGAAATCAAGGAGAGTTTTATGTTGGAAGTCAATCACAAAGTTTTTAGGTGAAGGTGTGAGATAATTATATATCAAGTAAGAGCATCATCTTTCCCATTTGTTTTTCTTGAATGATGTATAATTGTAAATTAAAAACATGATAGTGATTATAACTGTCAAGCCTGTCACTAATTGAAAATATGTGTCAAGGACAAATATTGAAGATCTTTGGATCATTATATTATAAGATATAAATCTCTAAGTCCTAAAGTAGAGTTGAAAGTGTACTATGTGATAGCTGAAATGAAAGTTCAACAAGTGTTACAAATTTGGACTAAAATGTTTGATTTGAAAAGTTGAGAGTAAGAGTGAAACTCTCAAAGAAGTGTTTAAGGAAAAAGGATGAAGTGATTGATAGGTGATTCTCTAGGAAGGGATAAAAAAAAAGATTGACACGTGGCAAATGTTGAGATTGAGTTTAAGATCAAGATTGAATTTGATATGGAGTTCAAGATCAGATTCAACTCTATTTATTGGCTAAAGGAATTACTCCACATATTGAGATTAATATTTGACATTTTAATTTGCTCTAGCTAGGCTTGAGAATAAAGTTTTTTGGAGAACCATAGCTCTCAATTTCTATTCATGAAAGTGTGAACTTAAAGAAAAGCATGGTAAATTGTAAAAAAAAACTTGAGACACAATATATAAGAGTTAAAATATAGAGGGAAATGGCTCATTAATAAGTGTATATATACTTGTTTCAATCTGTTAAAAGTCTTGGAATACTTAGGTAAACATAAGTACTATTAGCTTGAATGACATCCCAGAAGGTCCGAATTCAAAAATTTAAATTTGGTATAAAAAAGGTTTTATATCTAATTCATCATTTAAATACAACCTTAACTCTTTAGGTTATTTCATCATTTAATAAAAGCAGCAAAGTTACTATTTCAAGGATATATATTTGACCTCCTATAGTCATCAATTACATAAGAATAATTTTATGACTAATTTATTGTTTAGGAGTTCTTGTCCTTCTTGTCCTTCTTTTAAGTGATCCTAACTATACTTATTTACTATAATTATATTAAAATCAATTTATTTAATCAAACTCTTATATATATCACATCCTTAAGCTCTCTAATGAAAACTTTTTATGATTCCCAAGATCTTAAAATTATTCCTTTTTTAACCTTTTTTTTAAGTTCATATATGAATTAAAGTGGAGAGCTATGTCCTCCTGACATGCTACTCCTTGAATATACCCCCACTCTTGGGACCTTCAAATGTCAATATCAAGTGGAGTTATATTTAACTATCAATAAAAGTTAGATTAAAGAATAACTTCAATACTAAGTTGTAAAATTTTTCATTATACTTTAGTTACTCAATCATGCCTTTAACCACTTAAAGAATTTTCACTCACAACCTCTATAAGTACTTATCCTGACTTAAAGAACTTATTAGCCCTTATAAGTAATCTCAAATCCATGTTAACGAAGCATTTGGTTTGTGTTTAATCTCACTTTAGACACTTAAAGGTATCATCAAAGTGTTAACCTTTTACATTAAAGCCCTCTTTTCTATTAATCTTATACATTAAGGCCATATTTTCTAGTCTTACTAGGGTTGACCTAGACCCCACTTTTGCCTCATTGAGATAATGGTTGCTTTTACTGCTGGTGAAATATTAGTGCCTAAAACTTATACATAAGTGTAACACATTCTATTTCTCCTCCTTTAAAAGGTTTTAAGAATGCATAGTGATAGTATATTTAAATCTAATTCCATCATCATAGGGTTATACTCACCTCCCTTTAAAGATGGCAATTAATCATTCACTTGTACCTCACATACCCTACAAGACGAAGGACATACTCATAGATATAATATTTATAATTTTGATTTTTAAGGTAAAAAATATACCTTGTCCAAGGGTATTATATTTTAAATAGCCATTAATCAATATGAATTAAACCTGTGTTATTTGCTCTAATATCATATCTTTTCTTTTAAGCCAAATGGAAAAAAACAGCAATTATTTAATGAGAGTGGCTATTTTATTTATATCCTCTAAAATTCCAATAACAATATATTCAAATTTCATCTCATAAACACATACTCCAAGAAATTAAATTCTAACTTGCAGCAATAAAAGATGCATAGCAAAAAAATGGCACTCACTGCTGGTTTCTTCCATTCCTGCTGGGGGGAAACTTGTGACCCTCCACACTATCCTAATTATACTTGTTTAGATGCTTTGAGCGACAAAGAAATACACGCAACTATGTGACGCTTGCATGGGGAGGCCTATTTTGCTCCACCACCTACTCTGCAACACTGATGGTGCAAGGGATGGGCACGCCATGCTGCTTCATTACTAGCCAGCTACCCCAAGATTGGAAGAAGTATTTTGCTGGGAAATTGGAGATCCAGGGCCAGCCGATCAGGTCTATCGGGTTGCTGATGATGTGTCACATGCCCCATATCTTCCCTTCAAGGCTGACTCCGTGAAAAGAATCCCAACCTCACTTCATTCGGAGCTCTGTGCTCAACTCCTGGTTCGTATTATCCATCACTTGTGATTTGGTTTGCCCATTGGAAGAATGATCAATAGCAAATTTCCAAGAGTCAAGCCAAGAACTAGAGTCTTTTCTCTCACCGAGAGTCTGAGCTTCTTGGGCTGCATGATTAAAATTTTCTCTTTCTCGTGAGTTAAAGGCTATAACTGATAAAGGAGCCCCAGCTCCTCAAGTATGGAGGAGAGGAAAGTCAAAGTTTTGCCCATTCTGGCTCTCCGATGTAAATGAAAAGCTCAATCAATCGAAAGATCTCTCCACTGCTTTTTTTCTGCTGAAGGGAGTAGTGCCAAACTTTTTCCAGGATGGATTTGTCTCAGCAAAAGAAGATGAATCAACTGCGCCTGAATTGGACTGTGACACGAAGATGGCAACGTGCTTTTAAGCCAATACGAGAGGATGATCTTTCTATAAAGAAAGTAGAAAGTCAAGCTGCGCAAAAGGAAGGAAGAAAGTCGTGAGATCCAGCAACAAGCAGTGAAGATCAACAGCAAAAGAAACTAAAGAACTTAACACGAGAACCACACAAGCTCCACTTGTCCTCGAGCTCCGCTCAAAACATCAGAGGCATCAGGAGCTGCCCTCAACACATCCGGCGCATC